GCTCCCCAGCTGCAGGGCCCTGGCCCCCTGCGCCCCCCTCATGACTGTGGTGTGCCCCCTGCACCCCCAGGGCTGGACATCCACTTCATCCACGTGAAGCCCCCGCAGCTGCCCGCCGGCCGCACCGCCAAGCCCCTGCTGATGGTGCACGGCTGGCCCGGCTGCTTCTACGAGTTTTACAACATCATCCCGCTCCTGACGGACCCCAAGAGCCACGGCCTGAGCGACGAGCACGTGTTCGAGGTCATCTGTCCTTCCATTCCCGGCTACGGCTTCTCCGAGGCGTCCTCCAAGAAGGGTAGGGGCCGCTGGAGGCCGGGGTGGGGGGCCCCTACCCTCCTCCCCTGGAGCCAGGCTCTCCCACAGGCTCTCCTGGGAGGAGGAGGCAGGGAGCCAGCTGGGAAGCTTCCTCCTGAGCCTGGGGAGGCGGGCAGAGAGGGAGGAGGGCATAGGAGGGCACTGCCATTGGGCAGAAGGCCCAGGCCTCTTCTTGGGGTCCGAGAGAGTGGCTCAGTGGTTGAGCGTCGACCTATGAACCAGGAGGTCACAGTTTGATTCCCGGACAGGGCACAGGCCTGTGTGGGCTTGTGCATAACAGAGATATCATATCCAAACGAATAATTTTGAGCACTTGAAAGTGATACTTGACATTAATTTATCAAATCGTTAAACACCAGAGAAGTGGGATTATGTGAAATATACTGAGGAAAGGGTGCAAATGTGTGTGTGTGGTAGCCCATCCATCCCAGTCGCCTCTCTCTGAAGCAACTTAACCTGGCTTTCGGTGAATGATAAAACTTTAGAGCACATAAGGATGTCTTTATCATCATTGAGCAACCCCCGGGACACCGTGTGGAGCCTTGGAGGGCAGGATGCTGAGCCCAGGGGAGGGGGAAGGGCGCCCAGGGGAGGGGGGAGGGCTCCCTGGCATCCAGCCGCACCTGGGGCCCTGGGGACACCGTCCGACCAGGGTTGGTGACGCTGGGCCAGATGCCCAGGCAGAGAGACCCACTTGGACGAGGGGAAGGTCAGGGAATAGACCTTTCCTCCCACCCCCGGCACACAGTGGGGAGCCTTGGAGGGTGCTGGGGTGCTAAGCCCAGGGGAGGGGGAGGGCTCCCTGGCATCCAGCTGCACCCGGGGCCCTGGGGACACTGTCCAACCAGGGTTGGTGACACTGGGCCAGATGCCCAGGCAGAGAGGCCCACTTGGATGAGGGGAAAGCCAGGGAATAGACCTCCCTAATGGACCAAATACCTAAGCAGAACTTTCTAGAGACACTGTATTTTCTTGCCAACCTGCCCCTTTGCCTCCAATGGCCACTAGAGAGGGGCAGGTGCAGAAGGTGGCTGGCCCTACCCGCCGGCCGCCCCTCACCCGGCCCCTCTCCGCCCCCAGCCACGTGAAAGGCCTGCACCTGAACATGGCCTTCGTGGTGAGAAACTTCCACACCCTGACCCTGTTCCTGGGGCCGCGCTTCCGGAAGCTGTTCGGCTACACGGAGAGGGATATGGAGCTCATGTCCCCCCTGAAGGAGAAGATGTTCTACAGCCTCATCCGGGAGAGCGGGTACATGCACATCCAGTGCACCAAGCCGGACACCGTGGGTGCGTGCCGCGAGGGGGCGCGCGCCGGGTAAGGGGAAGCGGTTTACACCCGTTCCATCCAGGAGGGCTCCCAACCAGGGGACCCTCGGCCCCCACCCAGGGGCCCTGCTCACAGGTGACAACCTCTTTGAGGGACTCGGAGCTCTTTTGACCCTTAAACTGCAGTTTTCCATAGAAGTGAGTTGGGGTCGCCATCCAACTCCCCAACATTCCCGTTTGGCAGCTGTCCTATTCCTAGTGGCTTTGACCCCTGACCCCTCCATCCCTGAGGGATGGAGAGTGGTGGGGAGTTGGGGGAGGGAGAGGAAGCCGGGGGGGACAGAGAAGGAGGTGCCCCAGGGCCCAGAGGGGGGGTCCCCCTGACAGCAGGGGAGGACCCAGCAAGTTTCTGCCACCAGGAGCCTGATAAAGCAGCGGTTCTCAACCTTTGGGGGTCGAACGACCCTTTCACAGGGGTCGCCTAAGACCACTGGAAAACACATCTATAATGACATATTGTTTTTGTGATGAATCACTATGCTTTAATGATGTTCAATTTGTAACAATGAAATTGGGGGTCACCACAACATGAGGAACTGCATGAAAGGGTCGCGGCATTCGGAGGGTTGAGAACCGCTGTGTTAAAGGATCGTTAGAAAAAAGACTAAAAAATTCAAAAGATCAGGCCCTACAAATGGACAATGAACACAGGTTACAGGCTTTCCTTAACTCACTGGTTAATAAAGGAGCCGGTAGCACGGAAAACGGCAGGCAGTTAGGGACCCTCACGTTAAGGGGCTAGGGGGTGCAGAGGTCAGGATCCACAGTCATAACCATTTACACTCCCATTTGCTTCCCTATGAACAAGAATCGCTTATGTGACCACCCGTCTTCCACAGTTTCCAGCCCCTAAACCAGCTCTAAGGCCAGGGAGGAGAGGACCCCAGAGAGTCCCGTCCCCTGGGAGCACCCGCGAGGTGACTCCCCGACTCCCACTCAGAAAGCTCCCGGGCCAGTCTGCCCATTTCACAGTCCTCGACCATTCTCAGGACGGTCCCGAGCTCGCCACATGCTAAGCCGCTCACAGAGATAACGGCGCTTTCTTCGTAAAACCCGTTCTCCCCCCGGGATCACAAGCGTGACCCACACTCGTGTTCGAAACATCGAAGGACGCGAAAAGCACAAACACAGAAACGAGCGTCCCCTGGCACCTCTCACCACCACCCCCGGCTCCCCTTTAGAACTCGCTAACATGGGGGTTGATGGGTTCTCACACGTGGAACCCACCCATCCATGTAACCAGACAGAACGCGGCCGGCGGGCCAGCCGGACACCCCTCTTCCAGGCAGTCTCCTCCCCTTGTCCCCAGGGCAACACCTCCTGACCTGGGACTGGGCTTGACTGGAATCGAACCTGGGACCTTTCAGTCCACAGGCCGACGTTCCATCCACTGAGCCAAACCGGTTTCGGCTGTCATGGTACTTTTTTCATGAAGTGGAATTCTGGGGTCGGTGCCTCTTCTAAGTCTGGCTTCTTTGGCTAAACGTTATGTTTGGGGGCCTCACCCATGCGGTCGTCCCAGCCACATGTCACACCTGCCCAGCGTTTCAGCTCATGGGCCGATCAATATTTAAAACTGACCCCCAACTTTGGGCTTTTAGGTTGTCGCTCATATGTGTACTAATCATAGCATATTTTTAAGAAAAAACACACATCACCTTTTGATAAACAGCATTCGTGTATTGGAGCTCACAAAACCCAGAGTCCTAGACCCTTCTATCTGAAGGAAGCTGCCTGGACGGGGTCAGGGTCCCCATGAGGCAGCAGGAGGTGCTGCCCCTTCTCTCAGACACGCGCACCCCGAGGCGAGGGTTGAGGAAGTGAGGTGCAGGCGCACCCCGAGGGCCAGGGCACAGCTGGGCCCCAGGCCTGAGTCCCTCGCGCCCCTTCCCTTGCCAGGCTGTGCCCTCAATGACTCCCCCGTGGGACTGGCTGCCTACATTCTGGAGAAGTTCTCCACCTGGACCAACTCTGACTTCCGAGACCTGGAGGACGGCGGCCTGGAGAGGTGAGAGAACGCGCGCCCCCATCCCCACCCCCGGTCCCAGCACCCCTTCCTCACCCATCACCCTCCTCTCCATCCTCACTGTGCGGAGCCCCGAGTCAGGGTCCAGCAGAGACAGGCCTGGGGGAGCAGCTGCTCCAGGGACCTGGGTTTCCTCAAGGGCAGGAGGGCAGAGGCTGTGGGTGGCACTGAGTGGGGGGTGGGACCCTCCGAGGTGGAGCTGGAATTCGAGAGCACGGGATCATGAGCGGACTCGGGGTGCAGGTGGCAGAAGGCCACAGGGGAGGACACGGAAGGGGTGGGCATTCTGCACTCATTCCCTGCCATCGTGGTAGCCGGTGACGCTGGCCGGCCTGTGGCACGGGGACCCCCACCCCCACCGTGCAGGGAGGTCTGAGGAAGGAAGCCGGACGGGCACGGGGCCTGGCCGGTGCTGGCAGCCAAGCGGGGCAGCTTTTGTTTGTGGTCCTTCCCAGGAAGTTCTCCCTGGACAGCCTGCTGACCATCATCATGATCTACTGGACCACGGGCACCATCGCCACCTCCCAGCGCTTCTACAAGGAGAACATGGGCCACAGCTTCCTGAGTGACCGGCACCAGCAGTGAGTCCGCCTCTGGGGGGGCGGGGAGGGGTCCCCCAGGCAGGGAGCAGGGGCAGGGCCTGCTCTTGAACTCAGGAAAGGACAAGACAGCCTGGCCTGTGGGGCGCTGGGCGTGGAGGGTGAGGGCGGGGTGTCCCGAGAAATCCCTCTGTCTTTAGAATCAGCGCCCAGAGGGAGCCCGGGGCCCCCGGGGCCAGGGTGCTGGGATGTCCGCGTCACCCCCATCCTGATCTCATCGGAGGACCCTGGTGACAGCAAAGGGAGGGAGGGGGTCAAGGTGGGGAGTGAGGCTGTCCCACCCCACCCTCCAGCCTGGGCAGCAGCCCTTCCAGAAAAGAGGGTTCTTAACGGATTGGAACCGAGGGGGGTGGCTGATGACACCCCCGCGAGCCCCCCGCTGAGGGGGACAGGCTGCCGGCCGAGCCTACCCCTCAGTGGGACCCTTGTCCCCACCAGGATGAAGGTCCACGTGCCCACCGGCTTCGCTGCCTTCCCTTGTGAGTTGATGCACGTCCCTGAGAAGTGGGTGAGGGTCAAGTACCCGAAGCTTGTCTCCTACTCCTACATGGCCCGCGGCGGCCACTTCGCCGCCTTCGAGGAGCCGGAGCTGCTGGCCCAGGACATCTGCAAGTTCGTGGGGCGGGTGGAGCGGCAGTGACCTCGGGGCAGCCCAGCCCTGGGGGCGCTCCCTCGTGGACACCTGTCCGTTTCCTGCAAACACCCTCCCCCCATCCTCCTCGCCCAGCGCTGCTCCCTTCCAGGAGGCGGCCCCCAACCCCACTTTTCTGAGGAATGGGTTTGCTTCCGTCCCCTGCCCACCCAGACCCCCACACGCACCGCCTCCCCTCACACATGCCCCTGCACGCATGAAGCAGCACGGCTTTGAGAATAAATGATTTTACTTCTAAGAGTGGCTGGAACCCAGTGACCGGCACGTGCCCCGACCCCACTCGGGGTTCCCCTTCCAGCAGAGCTGGCAGGGCTGCAGCCTGGGGAGGGGATCCCATCCACCCTGGCCGGGAGGGCAGGACCCCTGCAGGGGCACAGGACCCCGCTCCACCCCTGTCCGGGGTCCCGGGCAGTTCGGAGGGGAGGGGAGGCCGAGGAGCTGAGTGACGGTTGGGGACAGGTCGGCACAGGTGCCCCAGATCCCACCTGGCCACCTGGCCGGGCACACCCCCTGGGATGCAGGCGGCCTCCCTGGCTCTGCCCACCACCTGCGCCCACCTGTGACTCGGGCGCCCCCTGGAGGAGGAGGAAGGCAGTGTCTCCAGCAAATGCCCCAAATTACCTCTCAGCCCCGGGATCCCTCACGGAGAAAAAAAGGCGGGGACTACCCATCCTTGCTGCCTGGGCCACAGCCCTGCACCCAGCCAGGCCCCGCTCCCTGCCACAGCCCTCCCCTGGCTCCCAGGAGGCCCTGACACGCCTCCCCCGCCCCCCACTAGGAGGGAGCAGACAGGAGGCGGAGAGGACTGGAGACCCAGCCCATGCACCGGCCCTGAGAGGCACAGGGCTGACCTCGCCATCTGGCTGAACGGGCACTTTATTAGGGTTCGCACTGTCCCTGGCTGCTGGGGTGACCCTGGCCCAGCCAGAGCGTCGCTGGCAACATGATACAGAAACAGAACCCGAGTGGGGTGCAGACGTGAGTGCGCAGATCACGCCGGGGGCAGGGCCGGGGGCCCGGCTGGCTACAGAGGGCGGGGGCCAGAAAGACCCCGGGCCACCTTCGCGACCCCATCTCAGGCTCTTTGGTTATCCGTGGGGCGTACGTGTGCCCAGACGGGGGCGGTGGTGCGTGCTCAGAGGGGGGTCTTCCCCTGTCCCCTCTCCCTGTTTCCTGAGAGTCACCACAACCAGTGGCCCCAGAGGGACACCATTCCAACACGTGATGTCGCTACAAGGCACGGGGACCTCACCCAGCGACAGAGCTGGACGCTGCAGAAGGCGACGGGCAAGGAGCAGGACCCCAGACCCCCCAGCACGCGTCGGGGTTGCACCCGGTCCCGCCCCAAACCCCTCAGCCCAGGGCTGGAGCCCCTTCCCAGCTGGTCTTCGGAGCAGGGGGGCTTTGAAACGTGGACGGGAGTCCTGGACTTGGTCGGGGTC